GAGATCGCCATCTGATAAGATGAGGTGTGATGGCAGAGCCATATGCAGAAGAATCAGAATCAGCTTTATTGGCCAGGCGTGACGGACACACGAGGAATTTGACTCAGGTACATCGGCTCTCAATGTGCAAAACAGTAGACCAGCATAAGGCTGTGTAATATAACAAAATAGCAGCATTAACATCAACAACCAGTGCAAACAATGCAGAATAAGCAGTATAAACAGACAGTAAACATTGCAGACAACAAAGGAATGTTCATTGAAATGAGATAAATAGGAATAAAAACAGAGTACTTAAAACTGGAGACCTCTATGACTCTGTATAATCTGTACAATGTATATATACACAGGTATTGCACTGAGGGTTACTGACCAGTCATACTGTCGTGGGTTAAGTGTTCATCAGAGTGACAGCCTGGGGGAAGAAACTGTCCCTGTGCCTGGTTGTCTTAGTGCACAGTGACCTGGAACGCCATCCAGAGGGGGGAAGCTGAAACAGATTGTGTCCAGGGTGTGAGGGGTCTGCAGTGATCCTCTCCGCCCTCCATTTGACCCATGTGGTGTACCGGTCCTCCATTGAGGGCAGGCTCACACCAATGACCTTTTCTGCAGTCCTGACTGTTGCTGAAGTCTGTACTTGTCCTGTTTGGTTGCTGAGACAAACCAGACAGTGATGGAGGTGCAGAGGACAGACTCGATGATTCCTCCTTAGAACTGTATCAGCAACAGGTCGAACTTCCTGAGCTGGCGCGGGAAGTACATCCTCTGCTGTGCCTTCTTGATGATGGTCCTGATGTTGGATGTCCACTTCAGGTCCTGGGAGATAGTGGAGCCCAGGAACTTGTAGGACTTTACTGCTGATACAATGCTACCAATTATGGTAAGTGGGGGTAACTGGCATTAAGCTGACTTTAGCTAGTTCTCAATGCCTAGAATCAAAGTCTAATTTGTTGATTATAAATATTTTCAGTCCCTCACAATAAAACACTGCTTCCATGTATGCTTTGGACTTGTGGACACTACAAGAAAGAACCTCATGTTGTCATTTCAACTCAGTTCAGTTCTCTTTAATAAATAAATGCTGGTGAGATCAGATTCTAGTGTAACAGTACAGTTACAACAACATTGCACAGACAAGAATCACATAGCCATGGGGTGAGTTGATTGAGTGAGATCTGAAATGATTTCAGGTGCTCTTTTCATTTTTGGTAGTGGACATTTTGAGAAGTGTGGAGCCTCTGATGCTGGACGACTTGCTGACAATGTATCTGGAATCTTTGAGTTTTCTGAGCTGTTGTACCAGACTGTTGATAGCATGAAGACATCCTACTGAGCATTAGTGGGCAGCCATATCTTAAATGTGTTGCATACTATTATTATTATATAATACAAATAACTATAAATAAATGTTGAAGGTGCACTGTTTAAATACATTATGTATGGTCCATTTATTTATTTGAACAAACCAACAATTCAACCACAATAGTAGTTTTAAACTACACATCACAAACAATTGCAAAGATTTTTTTTTCCTTCCAATTCTGAGCTTTTGATAAATGTATTGCAACAGTATCTGACATTTGATCACACTTTGTTCTTGTTGTAAGTAGGTGAAAGATACACCCCTCATTTTGGTGTAACTTGGTCCAAAACATTTAACAATGTATGAGCATTTTGGAGAGGCGTAAAAGCATAAAATAACCTCATTTAAGGAGAAGTTTTCTAATGTATCAATTTTCATTAGGAATATAATAGCAGAATGTACAAACTCAAACAAAATGTCGCACTCAGTAATCCAATGGGGAAAACGTAGCTTAAAAAAAAGGAAAAAGCATGTTGCTGGAATGCAACTCACACAAACAGCAAAAAAGTGTTTGCAACCAGTCAAGAGCAACAAATACTAATTCCTCCCTCTGATTAAAAGTAAACAGAATTATTACTATGAAAAACATAATACTAGAAGGCAATATGGTTATATTGTTATCAAAGAATATTGCAGGGTTTCCAGTGTTTCACTGAGGGGGGTCTACTTCATAAGATCACACAATATTATCTGCTATCTGCACTTGGGAATAAATGCACTATTTATGGTGTATAAATTGTGTGTGCCTGCTTCCCATGTGGCTGTGCTCAGGGAGCACTATGACATTTAAGAGGAAATGTTGGAATGGAGAGACAGATGGATGACAGATGGGGATCTGAGGAGAGGTTGTACTGTTAGGGCAGCTGTGGTATGGATAATAATCATCAATCTAGACACTGATGTTTGATCAATAACTGTGGTCGCTGCATGGGGCGAGAAACTGCGAGAGGAAATGACTGGGAGGGTATTGTATGATTCCAGACAGTAAGTTAGGCGTTGAAAAGATGGAAAAAAAATAGAACAAGGCTGGCAAATAAACAAATATGAAACTGTGTGAGCAGAGCAACCACAGGAAAAGAAGAATAGGCGAAATGAAATCCTTCGAGACAAATAACCAAATAATACATGCAATGTATTCTATCCTGGAAATGTGCTTTCAATGTCAGTCTAAACCATTTGCACTGCTAATGCACTAGGCTTTACAAGGGCCAGTGATCCCTTCTGCTATGAATTTAGCAAAGGCTTGAATTACTTTGCACTGGGACCATAGTAGATTGTTATAGGCAACATTTTAAAGGTTAAAATACAATATGATATCACAAATTAATTTCCAGAACCCTGCAATATTCATGATTGGAACTACTACAGTGTGAATTACTCTAGTGCAGCTAAATGAATGGGTCAGCATTTTGGAAAATACATGTACACTAAATTGCTTTGCTTCCAAATTTGACACGATGACATCAATATCGTGTAACAGAATGACCAACATCTGATCTGTGCATTGTGTAATGGAGCCAGATCAATTGGATATTGGCTGTAAAATTAAAACTAATTAAAACTAAATTAAAACTAACTAAAACTAATTAAAGCTACCTAAGACTGTATATTGTTCGTTGTACAGAAACAGAAATGTTAAAACAATGGTTTGTGGCTTCATGCCACTCACTGCTGTTAGTTTTGATGGCTGGTTTGACTTGAGGCTCTGGTTACTTGTCAACATCATAAGGAAACACCAAAGGAAAGAGT